CATTCTGTAAATAAGCACAGAGGAGGAATGTTATTATTCTTAAAATGATTGTTTTAATATGATTGTTAAATAACATTTTAATTGTTTATCATTATTCTTAGCTGCTATAGCACACTGTTTCTCAGGATTGCTCAGCTAAAAAGTTTGACTGTTAGGGCAAGGTTATTCCTTTCTCCTCTGTTAAAGTGACTGGCTTTTGAACAGAGCTGAGTGTTGATGCAACATTCACCCAGATGCAACATAACATTTCATATGATAACCCTTTGGTTACATCTTCCAAGTCTCCCTGGCAACTTGAGGTTGGATACTTCATGAGACACACTATCCCCATTTATTACTCCTGTGTAAAATTAACTGTGTTAATCCTCCATCGTGTTCCTCCTTTGTTTCAGAGGAAGGAGAGGCACAAAGATCGTTGCCTGGATCAGAAACATCCTACCCAGTGTCTGGGTTGCATCTGGGTGAGCGATACACCTTTACTATTCGCCCGCTGTTTGGGAGCATCTCTGGGGCTGAGGTTTCTGTTACTGACCAGACAGGTGAGTTTTGCTTTGTGGAGGAATGTCTTTACCTGGGTATCCATGCGAGGGGAGCAAATGGCAAAGCATGTGTGATCAAACAGGTGCTACAAGTTACATACTTGTGTCAGAAACTTGACCACAAGTAAGTAATGATGTTTGTGTGATGTCACCACAGCATGCTGCCATTTTGGCATCACTGTAGTTTGCACTGGGTCTCTAGAGCCTCATACTTGTAAGATGGTGGTCAACTTTTGGGTGGCAGGGGCTGCACTTAATATTTGGTGGGAGAGAAAGATGAAGTCCTATTTTTGAGAGGGAGTCCTGGAGTGTTTGTTTTTAACAATGATGAGCCTATTTTAAACCCTACACTTTAGATTTCCTGGTCTGTCTATTCCTTGACCTGTTACAGAGAGATTATATGACACTCCTTTGGCTCAGTTTTGTTTCAGTAGGTTTAGGTAGCTCTTTCAGATTCACATGGCAAGCCATTTGGGAAAATGTTTTTAAAATACTACAGTATTTAAAAATAAAATATAATTAAGTCGTCTGATTTGAAACTATTTGGGTGGAGAGTTAGAAGCAGCTACACAGGAAGTAAAATCTCTTCAGTTCTCATTTGCATGTTTTTGGGGGGATGGAGGGAAGCCGTTCTTACTCACTCTGAAGCATTCCATTCTGCAGTCTGTCCAGATGCCCAGCGTGATATCATTTTTCTTGTACATACAACTCGAGACAAAGCCTACAATGCAGAGGCTGTGCGAAGCTTCCTCTCCAACACTATCTCCGCCCTGGGTCGCCTGGGCCCTGAAACCACCCAGGTAACCAACATCATCAAGATTTTGCAGTTCTTCCTTCTTGTTTGATTCACATGTACTGAATGCACAAAGACATTTGAAGTTATTTCACTGGGTGAAGTGGACCCAGTTATAGCCCTGCTGATTCTCATTCTATCAGTGCAATTGATAGCTGGTGCCAGTGAGGTGACAAAGGATAGAATTTGGTAAAGGTACGTTCTGTAACTTCATGTTGTGGAGTTTTATGTGGCCATCCAAGTAGCTGTGAATCAAAATTTTGTCCCTGCAGAGATATGACAGGGTGGGATCCAGTTCTGTAATGAAATGTTGGGATTCAGAGAGATGGAAGAGAATACTGAGCCATTACAGAAGAAATCATTGAGTTTTGGGAAAGTAGTAAGCTGGAGAAGGAAACTCAGGACAATTCCACTTTGATTGTATTAGTATAACTTGAAGTAGGGTGGGGGTTTGATGGGCTTTCAAGTTTCTGCTGCGGTACCCTAAATGCACTGAAGTATATTCCAAGGCTATTGGCAACTCCTGTTTCCTGGTCTTGCCAATTTCAAAAGGCTGAGAAGTAAATGTATATATCACTCCTGGTTTCTCTCGGTTCCTAAGATGGGGATCTTTCCTGTCTTGGCTGCATGCTACTTCATCTTTGGATTCTGCTTTTATCGCATTTATTTTCTCTTTTCTTTTCTGCCTGCTCCAGGTGGGCATTGTGATTTACAGCTACCGAAGCCTCCCTTTGCTCCCGCTTAATCGTTCCAGTGATTTAGCAACTGTCCTGCAGCATATCCGCTCACTGCGCTATGAGGAGCCTAGCAGCAATGCCATTGGTAAGGAGTCACCCATTCCTTTCTTTGATTCCAGGAACAGGGAGGGAATTGCAGTTCCTTTCTCAAAGCAGGAAGAAAAAGAAACAATCTTGTTTCCTTTGAAATTCTACCTGCGATCATGATGTTAATATTCACAGGGGTTGCTAGTAAATACCTGAAATGAGCAACACGTCACTAGGGCTCTTACTAAAGTGTGTGTTTCTCTGAGTGCATATCGGTTGTTACTTTTTCTATGAAGGAGCAGCCATTAATTTTGTGAAGACCTACATGCTGAGCCCCGTTGCAGGGCGAAGACCCAGTGTACCAGGAACCTTGGTGATATTGGCAGATGGGTCATCCAGTGATGATGCCATCGGCCCTGCCAGGGAAGTCAAAGCTGCCGGTAAGTCACCAGTCCTTCAAGTCTGGAATGCAGCACACACGAGAGAAGCATCTGCTATTGCTGCTGCTCTCTAATAAAATGTTCTTAAAGGGATAGTTTTCTTCAAAACACTTCTTTATCTTTTTTTTTTTTTTGGTAAGACTAAGAGATCAAGTACTGGTCTACTTATTCCCGGTCAACTTACCTTGACTGTGGCTTTCTCCTTTCAGTTTGGGTTGGACACCGAGACATTTTAGTGACCGGTAGCTTAGTTTAATTCTGATGCATCTTAACTGTATACTGTATATTTATCTTCAAACTTAACTCATATGTTCATGCCATATTATACATTGAATTATTTATATTTAAATTAACATTAAGAAAAACTCTCTGTGATAAAATGTTTGTTCAAATTCTTCAGAACTTGTAAAACTGACAGAGAATAGGTATCCTTCCAACTTTATCATATGGTAGGGGTTTTTTGTTTGTTTGTTTAAACATAAAAATGCACAGTATCCAGTTCCATAGTCTGTCTGTTCCAAACCATTGGCATATGCAAATCAGAAGAATGTAAGCATTGGGGTAGACAAAACATTTAAAATTCAGCATTTATCTATATATTTATTAACCATATTTATATGCCCACCATCTGCCAAGGCTGTCTGGATGGTGAACAGAGATAAAAACAAAGCCAAATTCACAATCCATTAAAGAAAAACCATTTGAGACCCCTAAAAATAATCAGTAACAACATAACAAGCACACCTACACCCACATTAGGGCTCCATTAACACCCCAGCCCCAATGCCTGGGGGAAGAGCCAGGTCTTCACGGCCTTCTGAAAAGCCAGCTGGGTCAAGGCTGTCCATGTCTTGGGGGCAGACTGTTCCACAGAGCAGGTGCCATGACAGAGAAGATATGTTTCTTAGGACCCACTAAATGATGGAGCATGCCCACTCTTCCTGATCTGGTAGGATGGCAGAAACCATAGGGGAGAAGTGGTCCTGCAAGTAACCTGGCCCCATGCCATGTAGGGTTTTAAAGGTGGCAACCAGCACCTTGAATTGCACCCAAATCCCCTTGGGAGCCAGTGCAACTCACATAGCAGCAGCATTATGTAGGTGTACTGTGGTGTGTCCAATATTGCATGTGCCACTGTATTCTGGAGCAGCTGAAACTTCCAGATGGTCTTCAAGAGCAGCCCCTTGTAGAGTGCATTGCAGTAGTCCAACTGGGAGGTGATAAAAGCATGAGTGACCATGAGCAGTGCCTTCTGATCTAGGAACAGGTGCAACTGGTGCATAAGTTGTAATTGTGCAAAGGCTCTCCTACTGCTACTGCCTGTTCCTCAGAGAGGAGTTGCAAATCCAGGAAGACCCCCAGATTGCATACCAATTCTATTGGGGGAGTCTTATCCTCTCTAGAGTTAATGATGGAGAACCACTAGATACAGGGACCTAAAACCCACAACTACTCAATCTTGTCAGGGTTAAGGTGAACTCCGGTCTTCCCCATCCAGACCCACAAAAACCTCCAGGCACTGGGAAAGTACCCTTCTGGGTAGCCCAGAGCAAAGATGTATACCTGAGTATCATCAGTGCACTTATGATACTTAATGGTGTGTTGACAGATTATTGCACCCAATGGTTCCATGTAGATATGAAATAAGAGCAGGGGGTCGATCCCTGTGTCACTCTGAAAAGCAGGGGCCTCTCCCTCCAACACTGACTAGAACTGGCTTCAGAGGAAGGAGGAGAACCACTGAAGACTGTGCCCCCAACTCCCTCAGCCATGCCAGAAGGATACCAAGATTGATGGAACTGAAAGCCACTGAGAGATCAAAGAGGGCCAGAATGGATATACTGTCCCTACCCAAACACACCAGAATGCTTTTGGCTTGAAACAAATTATTCAATGTTACAGATAGTTCTTGGGTTACAATGGCAATTGGGACTGGAAACTCCATTGCTAAGCACACCATTACATGACTGCATCGCTTAGCGACAGCAGTCCCAGTTGCTGTTGTTAAACGAGGACTGCACAGGTCATTAAATGAGGACCCCATGTGACTGCAACTTCCAACTTCCTGCTGGCTTCCCCATTGTCTTTGCTTGTGGGAAGCCAGTAGGGAATGCTGGAAATAGCAATCACATGACTGTAGCTCACTGTGACATCGTAATCGTGAGCCAGGTGCCAAGCGCCTGGATTGCAATTATGTGACTGCGGGGATGCTGTGGTGGCCAGAACTATGAGGACCTGTCATAAGTACCATCAGTTCAGCCCCCTGGTAACTTTGAACAGTCGCTGAATGAATGGCGATAACCCGAGGACTACCTCTACTGGAAGTGTTTTGTTGCTATTCTGATTGTATTGGAAATATTCTGAATTCAAAGCAGATAAGCAGCTGTTTTGTGCTCAGAACCATTTCAGCATGCCAGAACACTTCCAGTGAGGTTAGGAAAGCTGTTTTTTTGCTCAGGATGTTGCATTTCAATCTTGAAACATAATTTGAAACATTTTGCACACCACAAATAAGAAGCTACAAAAACCAGTGAATCTTCCAGAAGAAAAACAGAATGGGAAGTAACTTACATGCCATAAGGGAGCACCTTTAGTATACAACCACATCATATGAATCAGTGTTCCTTTTTGAACACTACATCTCCAACTACTGGCTGAACCCAGCAATTTCTTTTCAGTATTTTTTTAACTTAAATTTCATCAAGGAATAACGTGTATATTCACCCTGGAGGAGGCTGACTTCTTGTTTTTCATTAATGCTCCAAATTTTTAGAGAGGTTTTGAAGGAAACTCCCATATGGCCTTGTACTTAATGGTATGAATGGATCTGAACACTTCTAGCTGAGCAGTCTGTCATTTGGCCTTGCTGAAGAAATAGGATAATCCTTTTTTTTTTAACTTAGGTATCCTTAAGTTGCTTTGATACAGTTTGGGCAGCCCTGGCTGAAACTTGCCTTTGAAAAAATGAGCTGAGCTACTTGTATGCTCAGCCTCCTCACCTGGACTGCACCATCTCCAGTGAGTAATTAACATGAAGGACCGCCATTGAGTTCCCTTCTATGGACCTTGCAGGGATCCAGGTGCTAGCAGTGGGGATGGAAGGGGCTGATCGTGAGCAGCTGCGTCGCCTGGTGACCAATGAAGAATCACGTAATGTTTTCTTTGTGCGAGACTCAAACAGTCTGTCGGAGATGGAAGCGGGGCTTGCCAGTGCCCTCTGCATCATCGACAGGGTAAGGCACTGCTCATGCAGCAGAGGACAGGGATTGCCTGTGGTTTTCTGAGCAACTGAATAGATCCAGCAGTGGAGGAAAGTGAATAAGACGACGAGTAAGAAGGCACATTTGCCTCTTGCATTAAGGGAGCACTCATGCTACAGAAGGCATGCTGAAGGAGAAAAGCACAATGGCTTCTTTTATTTGCATTAGGCCCAGGGTTTTCTCTACAGGATGAGAACAGATAGATTTGCAAGAGGTGGGAATTTCTGCTGTGTACAATAACCACTTGCTAATCCAGTTACTGTACCTATCACATTCTGCCAAGGTGTAGAAGAGACATTACCACTGTCCTACTCCTGAGGTTTCTGATGAAGTAACTTCCTCTTCACCTCTTCATAATTGTAATAAACAGGTGGCTTATCAAGGCCACTCCGGCCTTCCTGTCCCTTGCTGACCTCTCCAACCCACTCATCTGATCAGGCATCTTCTGACTAGGAGGCACTGGTCTCCCTTTCAAAAGCGTCCACAGTGGTGAGGGTGGTGGGGTTATGGAGACAGGATTAAAGTTTCTTCTCCCCTCCCCATCTGCCTCAGCCCTCCTTGGTAAAGTTTTCTTGTCCCCTAAGGAAACAGGAACCTTGTTGAAGGGAGCTGTGCACGAAGATAGGTTTTAGCCTCATTTTTCCCTTGTCTTCCTGAGGATCCATGTGTGAGAGAAGGGAAATGGATTTGGTAGATGGGTGAGCGTGCACGTACGTGTTGAGTTGTAGCCTCTAATGAGCTCAGCAAGAGCCTATGTGGTGTCCCAACAGAAAACTTTCCCCTCTATTTCTGTGAACTCCAAAATACGTTATTACCTAGTTCATGGCCTGAGTCTAAAGCCTAGCCCCTAATGTGTAAAGGTTTGCATTGTAGTTATCATAACATTCACCTTTTAGTTCTTTGTTTTCTTTCTCTCTTTCTCAGCCTAGACCAGAGCCTTGTGCTGTGCAGTGCCCTAAGGTAAGTCATAGACAATTACTCTGCATAAGATTTCTACTCACAAACTATATGTGTTCCCTCAGGTAGCAAAGGAGAGACAGAGATTAGAAACTAAGAAAAAAAGTCAGGGTTATTGGAACCTTTCTTGTGTAAAAATGGGATAAGTTCCTCTGTTATGGCAAAGTTGCCCCATCTTGTTTTGTTTATAAGATATCTTTTAGGCCTTTTTTAAAAAAGAATATTCTATGGTTAAGACTACTGAATAGTTACTGCTTTTAAAAATGGGTATACTGCCAGGATGTTCCAGGGCAGCTTATCATAAACTAAAATGACCATGTAAAATTCTAAATCATTAAAATATGAAGCACAGTAATTAAAATATAATATTAAAACTATAAAGCAGTAAAAGTGGCAATAAAACTCTCTAAACAGAATAGTCATTTAAAATTGACACATACCATTTGCCGCACCTCAATATGAGAAGGCCACCTGGACAGGGCCTCCAAAGATTATCTCAGTTTATGGGCAGGAACAAACAGGAAAAAATATTCTACCAGATATTGTGATCCTGAACAATGAAGGGCTTTAGAAATTAATAACAGCACTTTGAATTAGCCTTTAGGGCCACAGCATCAGTAGAATCTCCAAACTGTTTCAAATGCCCAATATCAAATACAAGCACTAAAGATTTGTTCTAGAATACAGTGGGGCAAAAAAGTATTTAGTCAGCCACCAATTGTGCAAGTTCTCCCACTTAAAAAGATGAGAGAGGCCTGTAATTTTCATCATAGGTATACCTCAACTATGAGAGACAAAATGAGAAAAAAAATCCAGAAAATCACATT